GTAGACGAATGTATTTTGTTATGGTATTCGTCGACAACAACTGGTAATATTTTAAGCCATTTTTGAGATTTCAATTCCGTGAATTTCTTGAATAATTTGCTTTTAAGAGTCCTGTTGAATCTTTCTATCACTACGGCTTTACCTTCGTTATGCGTGCTGTAAATTTCAAACCCCAGAGATTTCACATTTCTGTTGTAGAATTCGCTTCCTTTATCAACAAATATATTTATCCCAAATGACTAAGTGTTAGTCGTGTAGATTTACTATCTTCAGCAGTAATCTCTTTTTCTTCAATTTCTGTTTCAACAATATATTGACTATCATTAATTTTCTCATAGGTTTTGATATGTGAATCAAAGTTAGCCTGTAAAGTTGCTTCATTCCATAAATGTTTAGTTGTGAATATATCTTTCTCAATTGATTTACCATACAGGGAATTACCTAATAATTTCATGCAATTACTACCCACAATATTACCTTCTCGTTTATATTTATTTCTAAGATCTCTTAAAATTAAAATATAATCTCTATATGGTGGAGTTTTAAAATTTTCTAATATTCTAATAATTCGTCCACCGGCTTTAACTATTTCTTGAATATCAACCGATGTTAAAACTTCGTGACAGAAACCATTTCTTAACCTGATTTTGGTGCCAGTTTCGTGTTTACCTTCTTTATTCGTGAAAGTGATTTTATCTTCAGTTGGTATCGGTTGGAAGAACATGTTTTTGGGATAGTCAAACCAGACTTTTAAAATAGCTGTTCTAGGTCTAAATCTTTTTCTGGCAGAAACGGTCTAGCACTTTCTGTTTTGGATATTCACTGTCTAAATCTGACATTGACATCCGTCAAATGCAGTTAGTTTATTGCAGATTATTTTTTTAAGTTTTGAATTAACTTCTGTTTTGTCTTTTGTGCTTGCGCTGTATTCTTTGAATAAATCAATTATGTTATCACTTCGTGTTTCACTTTGTGAAATATCACTTCGTGTAAATTCCTTTAATACATTACAAATTTCATCCATTTTGTTCGTTTCAAATATTTTTCTATTTGCCGAAACTCTTCCTCCTTTAATAGATCGTCTGATAAAATGTCTTATAAAAGGGTTAGTGTGTGAGTTAACTTTTTCTATATTCTTTTTTTCGGTATGTTTCGGAACCACTCTAGTAGTTTCATACCATTCTTCTTC